AGGCAAGCAGACCTAATTTTAACAGCCGGCACAGTAACAATGAAAATGGCTCCTTCTTTAGTGAGATTATATGAGCAAATGCCCGAACCAAAATATGTCATTGCTATGGGAGCCTGTACTATTACAKGAGGGATGTTCAGTACCGATTCTTATAGTACTGTTCGGGGAGTCGATAAGCTAWTTCCTGTGGATGTCTATTTGCCGGGCTGCCCGCCTAAACCGGAGGCAGTTATAGATGCTATAACAAAACTTCGTAAGAAGGTTTCTCGATCTTCAGACACCTAGAACATGAGGTGTCAGCCTTTTGAAAGCCAGTTGGAATCTCAAAGGTTGAAATGAATAGGTGGTACGCAATAATATGAACTCTGATCTCTGAAAAGAAAAAAGGTTCTGATATCTGGGCAGTCAGAAACAAGTTGTTTGGTATGCTGAATGCTTGAACCTCTAAAAACTGTATGTTTTACTTTTCTAAACATATTTAACGGTTTAGTTATATATATATATGTGTGTGTGTGTGTGTGTGTGTAGACACATTATACAATGGATTATGGTAATGGCACTGAACAGGGTGGAATGGCGGAGTGGGATTCATTCTGCCAATCCATAGTTGGGATAATATTTTGATGATGATGATGTTGATACAAATACAATTTTATATAACATTGTTATATATTATATATAATATAATAAATTAATATAGCATATATTAAAAGGGGAGCTTATGAAGGACTTCCATGGTCTATGACAAAATTGTCAAAGGGCATTATTATCCAATTGATCTCTTAATTCAGTGCTAAATTGTTTAGATGAGAGGCTACCTTTGAAAGTTTCAGAGGTTTTTATAGAAGTCAGAGGTCTGTTCGGATGTTTAACCAAATGACCAACCTTTGAAAAACAAATTTTCAGATATAGAGGTTGTTCAGCATTCTTGAACACATTAGGCTGCATTTGGAAGTGGTGTAAATACACTTTTACACCGGGGAGTTCTGCATCGGTTGGTTTGTTAGATTGTAAATGTGAACTGGATTGTTGGTCCCATTTACACTTTCCTTGTTTGGGAATGTCAACGTAAAGTGGAACCAGTAGGGTATGAAGGCTATCATCAATGAAGCCTTTTGCATGTCAGATACCAGTAGGTAGTCCCTCATTAAAACTAGACATCTGCAACAACAGTTTCTTAAGTTTCACAAGCTTCCCAACCTTGCTAGGTATCTCACTCATTAGGAATGGATTTTCAGACAAATTAAGAACAACAAGCTCACTCAAATTCCCAAAGACAAAAGAAGGAACACTACCAAAGCAAGTTGCTTCCCCAATTGAGAACCTGCAAGCTCTTCAGAGAACCTAGGCCATAAGGAATCTTTCCCTCCACATGGTTTATTCTGAAATCAACACAGTGAACTGAACTAAAAGAATCTGATCTGGGATTGTTTCCCATATGAGATTGTTGCTGAGATTTATTGTTTGCAACACACTGCACTGAGAGAGATGAAGAAGGATGGGCTGGTTGAAGACGTTGTCTGCAAGATTGAGATAGGAGAGGTTGGGTAGTTGGCAGATTGAAGGAGAGATCTCGCCAGGAAGATTGAGACTTTGAAGCTTGAGAGAAGAAACTGGCAGAGAAACTGTAGCACTAGCATTGCAGGCAACACCTGTCCAGCTGCATTGGTGGTGGGTAGCAGAGGTGTTAGACACAGCTTTGTTTTGAGATGAGGACAGGGAGAAGAGGGAAGGGAATTGATCTTTAAAGTAGTGTTCCCTACCCAAAGATCTTTCCAACAAAGATCATTTTGAGAACGCCTTGAGAAAGAATATTTTGGAGTTAGGCTCTTATTTGAGCCAAGCAATAGAGGTGGGATGGAGAGAGAGGACTTGATGTCCGACGACAAGATGGAGAGAGGAGGTTGTGATCGAAGCGAAGAGATTGTTGTTTAAGGAAGGTAAAAGTAGGGACCGATAGACATTGAAGGTTAGGGAGGGGAATAGTGCAACAATTTAATTGATTGGATGGAGTATTCTTGAACCCTTTAGAGTCGGATGGTAGGATTTGGTGAATTGATCCTTCTGGTTCATTTTCATGTGCTTCCTTCTTTTCGGCATTGATCCAACCTTCTTCAAATGATTCTATGGTGACCTTTCCAGTGAAGGAGGTCTGGAATAAGCCTATTCCTCCTAGAATAAGTGGTTTCTGTTGGGAAGTCTTCTTAGGTAAAATTAATACTTGTGATCTTCTCCAAAGAAAGAGACAAAATTGGTGCCTCTCCTCAAATTGGTGCATCCTTTGCAAGGCTAATGGTGAGACTAGTTACCACTTATTAATTTCCTACCCTTTTGCTCTTTATATTTGGGAATGGTTTATTTCTTTGTTTGGGTGCAGGTGGAATTTCCCACCAAATGTTCAAGGCTTATTTGCTTCTTTCCTTGTTAACTTGAGAAAGAGGAGGGGGAGAACCCTTTGGAGGTGTACTAGAGTGGCAATATGCTGGACAATATGGGAAGAAAGGAATCAAAGAAATTTCTCTAACAAGGAAAGGAGCAGAGAATCTATCATTGAAGCCATTACTATCAGAGTTATCCATTGGGTTAAATGCTTGAGAAGCTTTGATGACATTCCCACAAATGACTTGCTTAGAAAGTGGAAGGAGGTGGCTGATTCTTCTCTTCTAAGAGCTGTTATTAGGCCAGTTTGGGTCCCACCTCCTAGTGGGTTTTTTAAACTGAATTTTGATGGCAGTAGTGAGGGGAATCCGGGCCCTTTAGGTATTAGAAGTGTTTTTTGGAATGAGGAGGGAGGTTTTATTGCCCTTTACTCGGGACCAATAGGTGCGGGAGACTCCTTGAGGGCAGAAATCCTAGTTCTGAAGGAAGGAATCCAAAAAGCAAAGGAGCTGAATATAAGAAAGTTGGTCATAGAAGGGGATTCAAAAACTAGCCAATTGGGTGGGTACTCAACCCCTCAAATATCCCCTGCTTCCTCAGTTTGATCAGGTATGATGTTGGTTCTGGTAATGCCATTCTATTCCGGGAGGATATTTGGGTGGGTACTCAACCCCTCAAAGATCGTTTCCCCTCGCTCTATTCCCTCTCCTGTCAGAAAAACAAGCCAATTGCAAACTTTCTCTCGAGCCTGTTAATCCCCTTGTCTTTAAACTGGGACTTCAGTTTTCGTAGAGGGTTAAGGGATGGTGAGTTGAGTTGTGTTATTGAGCTAATTCATTTACTAGAATCTGTTTGCTTGGACCCCACTTCTTTTGATCAAAGAGTTTGGACTCCTCTTCCAAAAGGGACATTTTCTTGTGCTTCCTTTCTAAAATCCCTCAGTTCTAACCCCATTCCCAAGGTTTCCCTTTCAAAGAAGTCTGGGCGTGACCTAATCCCCCCAAAATTGCTGTATTCTGCTGGGAAGTCTACTATGGGAAAATCAATACTTTTGAAAACTTCCAGAAAAAGAGACCCTCTCTTTGTCTTTCCCCAAATTGTGTTCTTTGTGTAAGGCCAAGAATGAGGACTGTTTCCATTTGCTGATCTGGAGCCTTTGTTTATTTGGAGGTAGGTGGTCTTTGCCTTCCGATTTAAGGTTGTTATTTAACCCTTCTTTTTTTGTTTGGCACACTAGAAGAGGCAAAGTCATGTGGAAATGTGTCAGGGCAGC